GCCGTGCTCAGCACAGTAGGCTGCCAAGAGGTCGGAGGAGAACTCACCACCTCTGTCAGAGTGCAAGCGCAGGACAGGAAAGTCTGAGTGAAAACGCTCACTGAACTGGAGACGGGCTCTGCGGATCCAAGGGATCAAGACATCAGGGACCTCACCCTTGGTGCGCAAGGGGAAGACCGAGGTGTAGCGCGAGTAGTCGTCAAAAACTATCAGGAAGTACCTCTCCTGACCCTGACCACGGACGCGGGCTGGACCCTACACGTCCATGTGGAGTGTCTGCAAGGGAGCACTCGTCGGGGGGAACGAGGAGGAGTGAGGAGCGGCGCGCTGCCATCCCTCGACACAGGGGAGACAGGTAGGAGCAGGCGAGGGTGGGAGGGCAGGAAGGACCCTGGGCAGGCCAGAGACAAGGTACCGGGAGTGCATGGCACGAAGCCGCTGCACAGACGGGTGGCCAAGGCGGTGGTGCCAGAGGACAGTCTCGTGTGCCAAAGAACGACACGAGCAGGGGGCGGACAGCTGACCTGACGCGGACGCGGACGCAGTCGCAGCAACCTGAGGGGACTCAATAGTCAGTGTGTACAGGTCCGACCCCGGCTGCCGAGTGAAGGTAGCCAAGTGACGGCCCGTACGAGCACACGTGCAGTGTGTCACGCGCTCGTAGGCAGGGGTGAACTGGTGAACACCCCCGTCCTGGAGTGCACATCCTGCCACCAAGTTCGTAGAGAACGAGGGGAGGTGGAGACCTGACAGTGTGCCCGACGGGACCGCAGGGCAGGGAAGGACAGTGGAAGAGGTCGCAATGACCGGACCCCCAGAGAGGTCAGCAAGGGAGACAGCAACTGGCCGAGCAAGCGGCTCAAGGGCAGTGCGGTCAGGAAAGAAGCAGCGAGAAGCACCGGAGTCCAGTGTGAAGGTGTGCAGTGCGGCAGTCGACGCAGTACCAAGGGGGGGAGACACACGAGCTCCTAGAGCAGCAGCCTCACCAGCACCTGGGGTAGCCGACACGCGAGTACCCAGAGCGGCAGACGCACTGGCCCTAATGCCCGGGTCGGGCGGCACACACAAGTACTCAGCACCCTCTCCACTAGTAGACATCACATACATGGCAGATAGAATAGCATCAAAGTCTAGAGCATAGATATCAATCCCCTTCTTCAGGAGATCAAGCCAGCGGGGCAGCTCAGTGGCCTGAGGGAACTGAACACGCCAAGCGTCGTCGAGACGAGAGAAGCAGCGCTGTGTGGCGTGGGGTCGTCCACACTGCTGACCAGTGCGGTCACCAGTGCGAATGACGTACGTGCAGCTAAGACCACCCCCACCCCCGTGCTGAGAGTACCACTCACGGACCTCCTGGGGCGAGGGAGTGTGCTGCTGGCCCTGGCCACCGCCAGTGCCTCCACAGCCACCACCACCGCTGCCACCTCCTCGACCACCCCAACCCCTGCCGCCGCCTTGTCCACCGCCACCCCAACCGCCGCCTCCACTCCTGCCACCTCCCCCGCCGCTGCCGCCACCACCCCCACCGCTACCACTCGCCCCTCCAGCCGAGCCACCACCCCCACTGCCTCCACCGCCCCCACCGCCGCCTCCCCCGCCGTCACCGCCACCACCCTTGCCCCCTTTGCCCTTGCCGCTGCGGCGTCCGCTCGAGGCAGACACAGCGCCGACCTTCTCAGTACCAAGAAGGTCGACAGCAGCAGCAGAGGCGACAGAGGGAAGAAGGGGGGAAGGAGAACACCCCTCAAAGAACGGGGTACGGGGGTCGCCACGAGAGGCACCTACAGCGACTATGCTAGTCTCAGCTGCAAGTAGCTCCTTCTCGAGGAGGGCAATGGTGAGCTCAGTGGGGCAACGAGCTAGGAAGTGGTCCCTGACAGCACGCAGTGTGTTAGGGAGGCGGGTGACTAGGTGGTAGAGAGTGAGCCAGAGTGGAGGGGGGTGCGTGGCAAGGAACTCAGCAGGCATGGCGGCACGGAAGCGGGCCTCACTAGTACGGAGGTGCGTGATGAGGTCAGCGACTGTGTGAAAGGAGGCCAGGTCGGGAAACAGGTAGGGGAGGGAGAGACGGCCTAGTGCGGCAGAGGCAGGTGAGGAGTAGCGAGCAACTACAGCTGTGTACAGTGCCTGTGCAGTCTTGTGCTGACCAAAGTGCTCGCGTTCGTCTATCGGCAGGGAGTTGCGAATGGCGAAGCGAGCGTGGGCATCACGAGTCTGCCACTGTGAGCGAGCAGTGCTGTCAGCAGTAGCAGCAGGGGCAGTGACATGGCCTAGGGCGTGATCGTACAGTGAGATGTCATCCTTGGCTGTGAGCTGTAGGTAGAGGTGCAGGTCATCGAGCCAGGTGTCAAACTTCACAGGGCGGCCCTCAGCATCGAACACGAGAACTTGTGGGCTAGCCATAGGAACAGTAGAAATAGCAGCAGTAGCAGTAGGAGAAGCAGGTAGGACGAACCAGGTAGGGCAGGGCGGCGCGGCTCGGTTCAGGTCGGGTCGCGGCTCGGCTAGGTGGCGCGGCTCGGTTCAGGGCGTGCGGCTCGGCTCGGGGCGCGCGGCTCGGGTCGCGCGGCTCGGGTCACGGCGGGGACGGGCCGCCCGCTCTCCCTCGTGTGCTGCGGCGGGAACGGGCCGCCCGGGGCCTCTAGGTGGTGGGCACGGGTCGGCGAGGTCGGCACGGGGCCGGTTGGGGCCCTAGAGGGGCGAGCGCGGGGCCGATCGGGGCCTGAGCGGGGCTAGCGCGGGGCCAAACGGGGCCTTGACGGGGCTAGCAAGGGGCCGACGGGGCCTGAACGGGGCTAGCGCGGGGCCGACGGGGCCTGAAACGGGGCCGAGGGGGCCTGAAACGGGGCTAGCGCGGGCCCGATGGGGCCTGAGAGGGGCTAGTGCGGGGCCGACGGGGCCTGAAACGGGGCTAGCGCGGGCCGACGGGGCCTGAGAGGGGCAAGCGCGGGGCCGACGAGGCCTGAAACGGGGCTAGCGCGGGCCGACGGGGCCTGAGAGGGTCTAGAGCGGGGCCGACGGGGCCTGAAACGGGGCCAACGGGGCCTGAAACGGGGCTAGCGCGGGCCGACGGGGCCTGAGAGGGGCTAGCGCGGGGTCGACGGGGCCTGTAACGGGGCCGACGGGGCCTGAAACGGGGCTAGCGCGGGCCGACGGGGCCTGAGAGGGGCTAGCGCGGGGCCGACGGGGCCTGGAACGGGGCCGACGGGGCCTGAACGGGGCTAGCGCGGGGCCTGAACGGGGCCTTAAAGGGGCCGATGGGGCCTGAACGGGGCTAGCGCGGGGCCGTCAAGAGGGGCCTCTAGGGGCGTGACACGCCGAGGCGCCCTAGGGCACAGGTAGGTAGGTACGTAGTGGTGGGCCCTTAGAAAATTTCGGTCCTAGGAAGGACCTGCTCTATACCATGTTGGAATCACTGAACAGGAATGAATGAACTAGCAGTGAAATGAGTACAAGTACCTAACCCTAGAATTGTGTACCCCCTATAGGCTAACCCACTGTAGCCTAAACTAACACAACATATATAATGTTTGACAGAGCGGCCTATGGCGAACCCTCAAGAAAAGCAGTACGAAACACATCGTGAGTGCCAGAAATAGCGCACTGTACATTCGCGCCACACCCGATATCCAACAATGCGAGGCGGATGCCATTCCGCACGCAGCTTTGCAGTCTTGTTGTTACTCGGTACCTACACGCGGACGAGTTTGGGCAAAAAAGGTGTACGTTAGTTGAGAGTAACATGCAATCGAGGCGAGTTGGGCCAACCCCCAATTTTTGAGACGTATTTTGTGTGAACCGTGTGTTGCTCTCGTACATTGCCTGAAGAATGAAGGCAGGCTTCGCACAGATTGTTCTGAGATATGCGGTTCCGAACGAGATCTGAACTCTTATACCCACCAAATATTTCGCCACTGGGATGTCCTGCCTCGACATGTCTGCCTATATTGGTGTGCCCAAGACCATTTGCAATCGCATCGTAGACACCTTTTAACGAATTTCTTGTGCAATTCAAGTCAGAGTGGGTCCGCTTCTCAGCATCGGCAGAGACGGTGACCATGGAGGCAGATTTCCGGACCATTCAAGGTGTACCGGGAGTCATCGGCACCTACGTTCAAATCAGGGGCATGGACCGGTACCACACAGAGTACTTCAGTCACAAAAACCAGCATGCAATCCAACTCCAAGTGTCCTGTGAAGCACATGGACGAATTTGGGATTACATCCTCGGTTATCCTGAATCCGCACATGATCAGAGAGTGTTTGTGAAATCAGCATTATATGAGAGATTGGAACGAGGGGATGCCTACCTATATCAAATACTAAGGGATGAAGCCTACCCATTAAGGGACTACTGTCTAGTGCTGCTGTTTGCACCTGGTGGCACCTAATAAAAGCCTAGGAGCAGACATTCAACTATGTGCACTCAGCCGCAGGTACACCTGGGCTAGTAACTACACAAGCACTTGAACTGGAAGCACATTTACCTACACTAGCAACAAGCAAGGATTCTAGACCACGAACATGCGAGCAAACAGATCTAGCAGCACTATAGTCAATACCGGCATACATCACATAGGGAGATTGCAAGGCCTCAAGCAACTCTACCCCAGACATATCAAACAACGCAAGACCAAGGGAGCAAGCTAGCGGGGCCTAGTCCAGAGCGGGGCCCAAAGCCATACAGCGAACAGAGCCGGTCCATGAGCTGCACAAAGCACTGACCCGGGGGGTGAGGATGGCCACAAGGGCCACCCTGGCGAGTGCCAGTCTGAACAAGGTAAGAGCAGGGAGTAGGGGCAACACCATGCGACATCCAGCTGGGTGGGCCACCACCAAGTCCAGTGCTCCATGGTCCACGAGGTCCCCACTCCTGAGATGGCTGCTGCATCTGTCGCTGAACCTATTGCTGCGACTGTCCCTGCTGTTGCTGCTATCCCTGCTACGGTTGCGGCTACTGTCCCTGCAGTGGGTGCTGTCGCTGCTATGCTATGTATCAATTAACTGGCCCCGCACCCCTCTTGTCTGGCTCGCAGGCCCAGTACCACCTCCAGTGCTGCCTCCTCTGGACGCACTAGTACCGGCATTACTCCGCTACCCCCTCCACCATCATCGCCGCCACCACCCTTCCCCCCTGTCTTACCTCCCATGCATCGGGTCCACCCACCAATGACGGACACGGCTGTGGTCTCGTTCCAAGTACGAGATGCAACAGAGGCAAGAGAAGCAACAATAATAGTGAGTTGTGGGACAGTACACCCCTGAAAGAACTAAACTACGGTGGCAGAAGCGGGGGCAATGACGCGGCTGTTGCCCTCGATGTCTTTGATAGTGAGCCCACTAGGATGCTTCCGAAGAAGCTTGCCGCATGCAAGTGCAAGGCAGTCAGGGAGGCTAGTGACTATGAAGTGAACATGTGCATGGGCAGGGGTCCGGATGCAAGCTCAGCCTCGGTACAAGCAGCATGGTAGCTAGCGTCGAGCGAGCGCAAGTGTGTGACAAGGTCAGCTTTATAGATAAACACACCTAGGTCGGGAAACAAAACCGGCATGAAGAGGTGACCAAGAGAGGCGGAGGAGGGACTGGACAAACGGGTCTTTATCGCATCAAAACAATCCTTGGCAGACCGTACTTGGCTGGAGTGGGCCTCCTCAGTCTCGGGGAGAAGGCTGGTGAGGGCAATACGAGCCGCAGCATCACAAGACAAAGCTGTACGGCACTGAGTAAAGCGCTCTCGGTCTGCGTCAGTTGGCTTTGAAGGTAGGTCTGCAAGGCGCGGAGGGGAAGGCAGGTCACCAGAGGCGTGAGCCCAAAGTGTGTCACCATCCTGGATCTGACTCTGGAGGTAAAACTTAGCGCGGAGGAGCCAAGTGTTAAAATATAGCGCTCTACCCTTCACATAAAAATGCAGGACTCGAGAGGACGCCATGGTGGGTGCTCAACTAGACCAGGAGCAAAAGGCTGGAAATGGGCGATTGAAGAGCGATCGGCACCAGAAATGTTTGTCTAGGAAATGGCGAGGCAGTAAAGAACGTAGCCAGAAGAACCAGGCTAGGAACACCGGTCACAATGAGGGGTGAAAACTAAGAGTGGTGCGCAAACCCTAACACGGCGCTCGGGAAAACGCACGAAATTCTACGAACAACGCAAGGAAATGAGAGAGGATGCAGCCTCCAGCCGCTGCGAGAAGTGTCACCAAGAGCACGGGATGGTAGTTGAGGCTACTGTGTGTGGGTGCTCTGTGCAAGGCTGCAGGAGCACTGCTGTGAGCGGCTGTGTGCGGGTGGCTGCGCGTGCGCGACTTCGTGCGCAGCCAAGGCTGCCTAGGACAGGGCGCTGCCTGCGGATCGGCGTGACCTGGCTGCTAACGAGCGGGGTGCGGCATGCGAACAGGCGGGGCGCGGGTTGCTAATGGGCGGGGCGCGTCCTGCAAACGGACAGGGCGCTGGGTGCAAATGGGCGGGGAGCAGGCTCCAAACGGGCAGTGCGCGGGCTGCTAACGGGCGGGGTGTGAGCTGCGAATGGGCGGGGCACGGACTACAGGGCGGGGCCTGCTAAAGATCACGGGGTAGGCTAGGAACGGAGCGGGTCTTGGAGCGGAGCGGGCCTTGGAACTAACGGCGATGATACAATTTCAAAGAACGAATAGCGGAATGAGTTCACTACGAACCCTTGAAACGGGTTGTACTCCCTACAAAGCCACTCACTATACCCTAACAAGCTATTATAGCATATGACAGATACATGTTAAGCGCATCGGTTTCATACATGTACTGATCCATCCATTATGCGGTCAACATGGACCTCAATTCTCTGGGTTTCCACTCACATTCTTGAAGTAATACGCTTGACATATGTATAACATGGTGCCGGTACATTAATTGCACAGAACCCCGACCATGTTACGAAAGTCACTGGCAAAAAAACAAAAGTATTTTAGGAAAAGCCTCACTAGGACATCAGTGCAAGTATCACCTGCACCCATGACATGTTATTCACTTACTCTTCGAACCAAGCTCTGGCTGGATTATGACCTCGGGGTGATACACTCTTGAAGAGATGTCAAGAGCTCCCTTCTTCTCCTAGCAGGTTCAGCCCCTCTGAGCTGCACAATTGTTCCCAAGTCACTTGGTTCCCCTCCACCACCTGCCGGAGCTACCTTCCAGTACATGCACGCCAGCTCACTCCGGTACTGATCATACACTATAGTAGCATTTGCCTTCTTCTTCTTAACAGCAGGCCAGTCATACCAATTCATGGCATACTGCCATATCTGTTGCTGAGGAAAGGGGTTCGCGTCGTCACACCCAGGGAGCTCCCCAGCAGGCAACGCATGGCAAACGGCCTCATGCGAGCAGTGAGCCACCCCCTGGATGTACGTCTTGATGACACGTGGTGCGTTGTCGTTGTGCTTCATGGCGATGCGGAACGGCTGCGTGTAGGGAAGATGCACGCCAACACGAGGAATCGATGTGTGATTGGTCCATTCCAAGGCCCAGTGCACCTTATCATGAGCATACGCCCACACATAATTTCCAACGGTCGTGTGGGTGATTTGGGTCCGCAAATACCCAGGTCCATGCTTGGAGAACCACTTGAAATCGGAGTCAAAGCTGCCGCCCTTATCCTTGTGCAGATTCGCCACATGGCTTCTGAATCTTGGCAACACGCTGGTCGGCATCAGGAACGGCAGCTGCACCATGAAGTTGGCGAAGTACTTGTCCTCGCCAACGAAAAACTTGGTGGACCGTAACCAGTGGTCCAGCTGTCGCCGCTTGCTGCCAATCACATACGGCTTGCCGTCTGTCAAGTTGAACAGTAACCCGGGGGTTGCTTTCATGTTAAGGATGGCGTCATCATCTATTAGGGCCACGTAAGGGGTGGTTGTGTAGTTGTCGGCCCAGAGGTAGCTCCACTACTGCAGGATCTTTCTTGGAAGCTTCAAGCGGCTATCCTAATAGTAGACTTTTGAAACAAGGCTACGGCGCAGTCCGCATGGCGCGGCTGGCCTGGCCGGCCATGGCGACTAGAGAGCTGCGCCGTAGCGAGATAAAGAGATAGAAGTCACGCAGCGGAATAGTAGAAAGCTAAGCTAGAGAAGCCTAGCTGCAAGAAGTAGACGAGAGATGAGAGAGAAGAGTCAAGAAGAAGATTCTGAGATTAGATTAGAAAGATTCAGAGATTAATATTTATGCTAGGAAGAAAGGATGGCGACTTGGGAGGAAAACCGCGTCGCCACTTCATCTAGCATGGCATCTTGGCATTGCGCCTCGATGCCATGCCTTGCTGTACTATTCTTCCTGACAGGGACATGGGAGTACGTCCTAGGCTAGCAAGTGGTGCAGCTCGTAGGCAGCTAGGCAAGACCCGTTCGGAAATTCCCATGCATCTCGCATGGTGAATTCCGTCCTGTTACAACTTTGATACACGTGGGAATGAGGTCCTTGGCATCTTGCTCGTCACCGTCGAGGATGAGGATGACGTCACCGATGCCACGTGGCCACATCTGCTCGATGCTGCCAAAGAGCATCTCGAGCAGGAAGAAGTTCCTTGACACGTAGCTGCGGATTACGAGGTCCACATGACCAGGCCATAACGATCTGCCAACAGAAAGCAGCAAAATCAAGGCCATGTGGACTGTAAGAACCTGAGCAAGTTACAGAGAATCTTGACTAAAAACGAGGCAAAAGAGCACCTCACAACGAATAGTTGCCTGCCATATCTGAGATGTGCAAAGGGGGAAAGAAGAGAGCGGCTAGGTGCATGCACTGCACGTACCGGTACGCATCGTCGTAGAGGCTGAAGAGCTCTGCCACGCAGTGACCCGTTCGTGAACGCCGCCTGCACTCCCTCCCCCTGCTTTCGGCGCCATTGTCACTCCAAGTGGTGGTAGTAACGTTATTAGTACTACTACTAGTAGAAGCATTACTAGTTGCGGTCGTAGTAGTACTAATAGTCGCAGCAGCTGTCCTGAGGACAACTTTCACAGCGTTGCCGTCAGGCTCACTAGAAACCGTGGAAATGGCTTTCTCGGAACTGCTACTAACGTCACGGATTTCCGAGTTCAGACCTGCGCCGCTCGTGCTCTTCTCCGCCGCCGAGTCGCCGAGCTTGACTGACTCCGAGAATTGCCCGGACCAAGATATCTCATGCATCATTCGCAGTACCATCTTTGCGCATAACGCGGCTTCGTCTCCGCCGGCGGCTTGACCGTTCTCGTCGTTTGGATACAACCATCGCGAAATTCCTTGTATGCACAAAATGTATACGGTAGCTTTTCCTGCGAAATAGCTTCGGAAAAGCTTCAGAAAATCTCTGGCGCACACATTCGGAGCCAAATGGCCAAAGTGACTTCACCGTGACAAATGGCCATCACTATCATGCAATCATAAAGTGACGAAAAAAGTTGCTTTCGCCACTCTACGACCACGTGCCCAATCACCCGTGGAGTTCCGCGTGGTACAACGAAACCACGAAATGTTACACTGATCTGACCGAATTTTTTTACATTCGAGAACCAAACCACCAATCAACAAGCAGCGCGACAACCTCAAGCCAACGAAATTTGCGAAGCATCAAAATCGTCGGCAGACAGTAGTAACACCCATCCAACAGACGTTTTTCAACCAATCGTCTGACATTCATGAACAAGGTCCACCAATCACCAAAATCCTTATCTCCACGTCAATAACGATTTGCACCCAACCACTTTGAAAGGACTCTTGCATGACATCCTAACCATTTGTTCTCCAATTTTTTCACCTTCCGATTCTTAGTCTCGATCCTTGTTGACATCACGATAAACTCTCTAGACTAGATCCATGTCCGTCTCCTGTCTTTGCACACCCCTTGTCGTCATGGCGTTTCTACAAATATTCAGCTTTGTCATTTCACCTAAAGTATTCTTTTTGTGTTTTCATTATTTGTGCCATTGGACTCTTGGTTGCAGTTACGATTCGTGGGACGGCACGGAAAAGCCTCCCTGTTCGGTTAGTGGCAGTCTCGTTGCCTTCTGTATTGCAGCTCTGCTCTGTCATTTCGGACGGTTATCTCGTACGTGCGTACCTTGCTCTGCACGGAGGGAAGTGCAAAGGTGAGTATGGAGTGCGTATTGTCTTGATCTGTTTTAAGCTGACATGTGTGCAGATCCATATTCTCCTAACATAATGTGGCGCTCTCACTATTGCGCTACCTATGGCCATATTTTTGCTTTTTACAATTTCGGTACGTCGAAGTTTGTCGCGTCGTTTTCATTATTTCCGCCTTGTCATTTCAGACGATTATTCAGAACAAGGCATTCTTGTCTAAACCAGCAGCGGATGCGCTTTTTGTGCTTTGCACAGACGGGAGAGTGAATGTGGAGATTTTCGAACGCCAGTATTTAGGGTTAGTAGTATTTAGGCGTTCGAAAATCTCCACATTCACTCTCCCGTCTTGACTACTAATAACCGAGTCGCGTACCGTCGTTGACGGGTAATGAGCAGTTTTCTAATACTTGCCATGTTTCTTACCACGCGTTTGTTATGTTGCAGCTCTCATGACTTTTTTGTTGTGCTGCTCTTGTGCCTTTTTGTGAAGAAATGAGGAATGAATGAACTAGCAAGCAGGTGGGTACAAGTAGCAAAACCTAAAAGTGTTGTACCCCATATTGTCTACCCCACTACAGCCTACACAGACTATGGCATATGAGTTTGACACACCCCCATAGGCAAGGTGGGGGAGAACAAGAGGTCACAAGACCAGTCAAGTAAAGCAAAGCAAGCTCAGGGTGGATCACAACGTCACCACACATTCCGAGCACAAGTTCAAGGCCACAAGGCCAGTTCACATGCAAGATCATATATAACGGTAAACAAGCAAGTGCAGGTATAGAAAGATCACAGTACAAGCAAGGTCAAGAAGTGAGCAAGTGAGGCCAAGTAGGCACAAGACCTAGCATCGTACATAAGCGCTGATGATCACAAGGCGGAAGTGCGTTGGTAAAGATATCAGTAGTATTGGCCTCAGAGGCCACGTAAGCAAGGCGCAGCTCACCACGCTGCTGCAGCTCACGAGCAAGGAAGTAGCGAAGAGCAATGTGCTTCGTTCTGTGCTCCAGTATGTGCTCCCGACACAAGGCCAGCATGGCCTTGTTGTCTACGTACAGAACTGGAGGAGAACGAGGCGGCTCTCCTAGGTCAGTCAGCATGTAGGTGAGCTAGCGTAGCTCCTGTGCAGCCATGGCCCCCGCGTAGATCTCAGCCTCGCAGCTGGAGCCGAGAACAGAAGACGAGCGGGTAGACCGCCACGGAACAGAGCCGGAACCAAGGCTGAAGGTGTAACCCTGTGACGACCGCTGCGTAGCCTGGTCGTCAGCCCAAGAAGCGTCTGCGTGACCTGTGAGGACCACTGAACGTCGCCCTCCAAGCACTAGCCCCATTCCCGATGTACTGTACAAGTAGCGCAACACCCTCTTCGCTGCAGCCATGTGCTCTGGTCAGTGTCTCCCACGAGCAACATAGCGTGCCAAGATGCTAAGAGGGTATGCAAGGTCAGGTCTTGTGCAGGTCATCAGGTACATGAGGCAGCCAACAAGCTCTGGGTACGGGCCACTCGGCTCTACGGACTCATCCGAAGGCAGAGCTGAGAGCGAGTGGCGAGTAGACAGAGGAGTGGCCTGAGGCGAGGAGTACGTGAAGTCGAAGCGCTGAAGGACCTGCTGCACCATGTGTGACTGAGTCAGTGTGATGGTGCGGCGTGCTCTGTCCCGGGTGATCTGCAAGCCAAGGTAGCTGCGCAGTTCACCAAGGTCTGTGCACGTGTGTCTCTTCTGCAGCTCCGACTTCACGTGGGTGAGAGCCTCAATGTCAGCAGTGGCAAAGACCAAGTCGTCGACATACACGAGGATGTAGAACGGCGGCAGCGAAGTGTCTGTGAGCAGAAACAGCGACGGGTCGGCAGTAGAAGGAGCAAACCCAAGAGCCGCAAGTGTAGTCCTCAGTGTGTCGTGCCACTCACGGGGCGCCTGGCGGAGACCGTAGACTGGCCGCCGGAGGCTCCACTGGGTAACAGGGGGAAACGACCCAGTGAAGCCAGGTGGGCGGCGCAGCCAGATCTCCTCGTGCAAACTGCCCTGCAGGAAAGCTGTGCTGAAGTCAGGAGAGTGAAGCTCATAGTCGCACTGAGCGGCTATGTGCAGCAGCACCCGAAGAGTGGTCATCTTCGAGGTGGGACAGAAGGTCTGAAAGTAGTCAACTCCCTGCCGCTGACTGAAGCCTCGAGCCACATAACGCGCCTTGAAGACAGGCGGAGAACCCGGCGGCCGCTTCACCCTGAAAATCCACATGCCACTAACGATGTTCGCCCCAGGTGGGGGAACCTTGTCAACGTAGGTGCCTGTGGACTTTCCAGGAAGCCATCTCTGCGTCCATGGCTGACTGCCACTATGAGGAGCATGGACCCTTGATCGCCTCAGCGTACGATCGAGGAGTCGGGATGTCTGGTGCATCCGGGTCTCCCTCAGGGGCAATCAACGTGGACACGAGATGAGGCAAAGCAGCAGCAAAACACTGGAACTCCTCCTGCCTGTCCTCAAGGACGTCCGTGCTAAGAGCACACTCACCCCCGACGGACGGGGGACAGACAGACTCAGACTCAGCAACAAGACTAGCAGCGTAGTCTAGGCGACAGCGAGCAGCAAAGTCGACAAGCTCAGCAACCAAGGCAGACGCAGCAGTGGACTCAAAGAAAGGGTCAGTGACAACAGTAGCTAGGAGACGCGTGACAGTAGGACTGGCAGCACGACGAGAGTCAGACTCCGGGTCAGCAAGGACAGGAAGAGAGGAGAAGGACGCGGACGCG